AGCGGCCCCGGGGCCGAGATGCTGCACCGGGGGTACCGGGGCCGAGCCGCCGCAGGGCGCCCGCCCGCCGGTGCGGCAGGGAGGAGCCGCGCCGCCGGGGATGCTCCCGGCGCCGCCGAGGATGCTCCCGGCCCCGCCGCGCTCCCGCAGGCTCACCCAGCACGAAGTAGGGCAGCTCCGTGTTCTCCAGGTCATCCACCACCACCATCTCGCCGGGGAAATCGTTGCGGACCGAGAAGAGCAGCTTGGGCTCGGCGGCCGAGGGGCCGTGCATGATGCTGAGGTCGTTCTCCCGCAGGAAGGGCAGCGCCGACACCGTGATGCTCTTCAGTTTGCACTCCAGCTCCTTGGCCGCCGCCTCCGCCGCCGCCTCGGCGGGGCCGCTGCCCGCGGCCAGGCAGCAGCCGGCCAGCAGCGAGCACAGCCCGGCCAAAGCCATCTTGGAGCCCCGCGCCGCGCTCCCGGCGCCGGGCGGGAGGCGGCGGCGAGGGGCGGGGACCGCGCACCGGCGCCTCCCCGTGCGGCGCGGCTCGGCACGGCTCGGCTTCTCCGGCCCCCCGCCTCTCCTTTCCTCCTCTCCCCCCGTTTTCCTCCCCATCCCTGGGCAAGCGGGAGAACCGCGGAGCGATGCGGTGGCGGGAGGGATGCGGGACTGCGCGGCCTCCTTCTGCACGGAGGGCAGCGCGCAGGTACCACCCCCGCCGCGCAGGATACATCGCAGAGCTCCAAAATCCCGCACCTCCAAAATCCCAGGCTTCGGAAATCCCAGACTTCCAAAACCCCACGAGATATCATGGAACCCAAAACCCCAGAAGAGGTCACTGACCTCCAAAATCCCAGAAGTCACAGACCTCCAAAATAAATCCCAGGAGAAGTCATGGACCCCAAAGTCCCAAGAGAAGTCACAGACCTCCAAAATAAATCCCAGGAGAAGTCATGGACCCCAAAGCTCCAGAAGAAGTCACAGACCTCCAAATCCCTCAAGCCCACGTGAAATATATATCATTGTGTGTATACATACATACATATATATATATGTATATACATATAGAGTGTAAGGCAACCCCAAACCTGCTGGATTTGGATCTTTTTCCCAGACCTGGATGCTTTTTATTTTCACCCTCTTTAAGTGAGCACAAAGCAGCACTGACAGCTGGTCTGACAGCCACACCTTCCTGCAGACACCTGTGGTCCCCACCGCAGCCAAAATCTTCTGATGGAAAATGTTCTTTTCTTCTACTGTGGGGGCAATGCCCAGTCCTGATCCGAGCAGGAATTCATGGCTGTGTGCTGCTGGTGTGGTTTTCCCAGTGGGACTCTCCTGCAGCAGACAGCTCTGGAACAGGGCGTGGAGGCATCGCAGAGCTCCCACACCACAGCTCCTCACCATCTCCTCATGGGAGCATCCATCCCTCCTGGCACCTCCAAAGAAAACCACACACAGCAGATACTTGTGAATTTTTTGTATTTTTTCTTTCACAGAGCTCTCCACCTCTTCTTGTGAGAGTTTCCCTGAATTCCTCCTCCCTCACGTGTGCTAGCTGTGAAGCTTAACATGCCCCAGAGTGGGCATGGAGGGGAGACAGCACTGTGCCCCACACACCTCAAGCAGTGGGTGCTTTTCCCCAAAGTGATCTGTTTTTTTAACAGCTTGAATTTTTAACTTCCATGACACTTTGGGCAGGGAGAACTATGCTGACCAGAAATTACCCATTTTCAACAACCAGAGAGAAGCACTGAACTAAACCAGTGGGGATGCAGTGGTGTGTGTTTCAGCAGTGCTGTCTCTCTCCAGCACCAACAGGCTCAGGATCAGGAGAAATCAGGAAAAAAAAATGAAAGCAAACAAAAAAAAATCAAATGGGGAAAACTGGAGAAGGAAAATCAGGAAAAAATAAGGAAAAATGAGCAGCAATGTTTTGTAGGATGCGGGCCTCCTTTTGTGTTCCTTTTGGGGAGCACAGGGAAATGCTGCTGGATGACCCCCACAAGGCTCTTTCACTGATCTTCTTTCACCAGGTGATACAAACTCATTAAAAGGAGCTTTTTCCATTCTGAAAAATAAAAAGAGATTTGCATTATTTAGAGGGTGTCTCCAACAAGGTTCTTTCAAGGTTTGGAAAAGGGATGCACCCCCAGAGCGGTGCCCCTGGAATGCCCCGGAGGCGCGAAGAGGAGCAAGGAAGGGGTTTGGTGGGAGGTGTGAAGAACGCAGATGGATAAATAGAGCACATAAAAAAAACCAGCCGAGAACACCAAATCTGGTGTCACTGACGTGTCCTCCACCTGAGGTTGCCCAGAGAACCTGGGAATGTGGATCCCTGCAAGTGTTCGAGCCCAGGATTGTGGGGCTTGGAGCAACCTGGTCTAGCA